CGCTTAATTAGTCTTGGATGTCTTTAAAATCTCTGTCCCTTTGCTTTTTGGTTTCTCTACCTGGTGTTGTGTATTTTACTATCCCGACTTTTAATTCATCCAGCTTCACTGAACTGGACTTCGTGTATAATTCGTCATTTGCTTGTTACCTGGATGAGACACACTACTATTGTTTTATGACAAGCAACATGTCCTGTCCGGTCCCTTTGTAGACATTGTGTCCTGTAGACTGCAATGCTTACTTGTTCCCTTTGGAATTCTCATGTGTTTCCTGAATTGCAGTTGAACCTCCGGGCAGTTGCTTTCTGCTACAAGGTTTCTGATTTGCGGGCCTTGTTCTACTCAGGACGATTGAGTTGCTTGAGCTTGCTGTCTACTTATGTTTAATTCACGCCTCCAATTTCATCATCCGTTACTTGTTTTTGAATCAGTCATCTCACTTCCCGCCTGACACCTGTGCCTCATTCCTTGGACGTGACGTCACGGGACGATGATTCGTGACGTAAATATGCTCCACTATCGCGGTTCACTTAGTCTTTCACATGCATCTTGGCAAGAGATTTGATAATGGTATGGCTCGTCCAAACGGAATCCCCTGTAATCCAGTGTTCGAAATAGCCCTGAAATGTCATTTTGTTTTTCTAACCTCCATGTTGGATGCCGATAGCGGTTCAAAAATCCCTACTGAGCTTCCGACAGCAACATGTAAAAGTATTCACCAGGAAATTTTCAGTAAGCTATCTGGCCGAGCATTTAGATGTGCTTTAACGCTGTTTGTTCTCTACAGAGTTGCAGGTTACTGCTATGTACGTTGGTCCGCACATTGTGTGGTAACAACAGCAGTGGTGTTCTCAGCTCTATCTCTTTATTGGTTAGAAGAGGACATTACTGTTGCTGGCAACCAGGTCCAGGTAAATTGCTACTCCATACCCGAAAAGCATTATTCAGGTTTTTGATCCCCTAGAAATCTGGTGGAGGTATTTTCCGCAGGCCAATGACCAGTGAAGTGTTCAACGTTTCTTTCATGTAAAATTATTTCTCTATTGTTGTTAGGTAACTCATTTGCACAGGTCCCTGTTGTGGTAAATTCTCTGTATACTCTCTTCCGACCCACAGCCCATCTACCCCATGTTCACGGAAAATATTCGTGAAGTGGTCCGCGTTGTCCGGTTTGGAAAATGTACGTTCCATCAAATAGTGTTTGTAGTTTAAACCGCTCATTCTGATAACTCTAGCTTGGTGGCGGAAGCTGTACGAGCGCACTCGACTTCCCTTTGTGCTGTTCTACGGTTACTTTCCGGTCAAATTGAGGTGAGTCCCTTTTGTGCTCAGCATCCCATGTGGTGCTTGTTCTATTACAGAACCTACATTGGAGATCCAATTTATCCACAAGAAGGCGAAACACCAGAACAGCTGGCACAGAGAGTAAGTTCTCTTTTCCTTACTCTGTTTGTATTTCACAATGACGCAGACAGCAAGTAGTCCATTGTCATCAATTACGTCGACAAAACAAGCATTGTATGGCACACTGTTGTCAGCAATCTGTGGACGTTCATTTACAATTGCCTACTCTGCGCTGTCAAATGACTCACCAGTTCCGGAATACCTTCACCAACTGCGGTGTTGGTGCTGGAGTAGGTTCTTGCTAAACCACCATTTATTCACTGCTTAAACTGACAAAGCAGCACTTACCTTCGTGTAAACCTGACTCCACTGATAAGTCCGTCTACTAATATCTTCATTTTGTGGCCTACGGTTGTTTCTTCTAAAATTGGGTTGCCTCCACATAATAAAATAATATTTCACCGTCATGTTAACAACTGTTTCAAAGGTTGTGTATATGTTTTTGTCCGGATATGACATGCTTTGCATTAACAACTACGTTGTCTAGGCATGTTCCATGCACATCATGAGATTCACTGGAATCTGGGTTTGATGCAGAGGTGCTAGGACGAAGTTCGATTTGAGCGCAAGCTCGAGGACAGCATACGGTCTATGTCAACTAGTTGCGACTAGCGATGGAAGTCCTAGCTCAGAGAGTCAACACTTACTGCTGTTTGTTCTGGGCATGCACTATAGAGGGAGATAAGTAACACGTTATTGTAGCAAGTTATCAGTTAAGTCGGTCCGCCATTGTCACCCACGGTTTAATGGCTTAAGTTGTCGGCTTTTTGAAATGCAGTCATGATTTCGGTCCGGTGGAATCGCGCTACTGACGAGTCACAATGGGAAGAACTGGCCGTCCAGCGATTTTTGGATATATTGTGGCTTTCTGACCAAGAATAACTTCCTCAAGGGCGACGAAATGTCTCATACTCTATAGTAGGTTTTACTTTAAAGCACGCCGCGGCTCAGGATACATTTTTTGATAACCGTACTTCTGTATTATTTTAGGATATAATCTTTTCCGGTATGAGTGTGTTACATTTTACGATCTGCTGCCGTTACATAAAGCAGAGGCGATTAGTCCTCTATGGTTTCTAGCGTGTCAAAACATATTAGCTGCCGAATTTCACGAAGAATTTTCTATCTTGGAAAATAGGTGAAGTAGCATAAGTTAAGGTCATTTACTGTAAGTAAGTGCTTGTTAATTTAACTGACTGGACACATTATCCTCCTTTGGAGTAACTCATAAGTATGTTCTTAGCGAAAAACGGGATGATATGCACGAGTCAATGTAGAATAAAAGTTAAGTGCGCGGTGTTTTCCAGCTCCTGCAGCCTCTACATGTTCCGCCAGATATTCCACAGGATAAGATATCTGATGTCAAGGACATTGGTAGGTACATGTTCCTTGCTCTTAAAAACGACGTAACAACTAACCTTACGAAATCTACAAGAAAACTTATTTTTCATGTGCCAGGAGGTACGGTTTCGCGAGCGCAGGCCAATGGAGCTCGTGAATATTGATCGCACAATTAGCTGCCCCGAGGACCCGAACAACTTCAGCACAAGGCCAAAGCCAGCTAATGCCCAACGGCCAGGTTGTAAAACACCGGAGAGATATGGAGTAACAGACTATACTCAATTTAATCCATAACGGAATCAAGCTCCTCCCTAAGAATATTCAACTGAATCCACAATCACGTCAAGTTGCATCTAAAGTGGCGCACACGCACAAATGCCTGCCCATCGTCTTGACCAATTGCAAATCAGTTCAAGAGTACTCAGGACATCTGCATCGGTTGGTGCAGCGATTAGACGTCGCGCTCAGCCACAAACCACGTGATGCACCCGTGGACATGAAAACAACACGTGAGCTCAGTCACTGTAGGATGCGATGCGGACTAGCACGCGGCATCAATGGATGGTTGGGGAAGTACTGTAATTCCCATCCACTCACTTGTGGGACATCAAGACACACAACCCAGAAATGGGGTGCGGAGACATTCCATCCGCATTCACAGTGCTCACTGTTGCGCGCAGACGACCGGACATGAAATGTGCTCCACAATAAGACAGTATCAATTGCCTTCACTGAAGGTAGCTGCATGCAAGCTAGCAGACAGGTTCATCAACCTCACATGGTTTGATCTATGCTTAGCGGTGTCTACGTATGACCGATTGTAGCTAATATTGCCTAGGTGAAATAATGCGTGCGACGCTTCACTACGCGCTATCATGGCACAATGCGTTAGTAACCGGTGGGTGTGGCCGAATGACCTGTTAACGGTAGTTGATCAGCCTTAATGATGAGGTTAGCAAATGCATCTGCACAGCAATGCATGATGTACTGAAGTGAGCATTGCGGAAGTGAACCGCGTAAGTTGTGGTAACGATACCGCGTTGGCAACAGCTGGCATTTACTGGTCTATATGCAATGGTTAGTATATTGCAGCCGTTGACATGATGAACGAATACGTTTGTAAAGTAGCGTCATGAGTTCGTGTGAAACGAAGATAAAACGATGATCTATGTTAACGTCAACGCACTCACCGAGGTGCAAAAATGCGAAGCACTCCGTATGGTGAAACGATGTTTGACCGAAGAGATTAACCTAAGGTGTGGCCGAAGCTTAAGATGGTTGGAAAAACCGATATTGCGTTATATATTATTTTAGCTCGGATTTCAGTCGGAAATAAGCATTCAAGAACATAGTGTTATCATTAGATCGTCCTTGTGCACTATTTTATACATAATACTGGCAAACCCCAGTAAATGGCCAATAGTTGTTGATATCAAGTAGATAGCACATTTTGAACATAAAAGTGGATAAGAAAAGCTAGTTTGTGAGGAATCTGAAATCGCTCACTATGGAGTTGCACATCGTCATTCCTTGACTGCTCTGTTTGCAAGAATGTTTAGCTTCCAAACCGAACTTTCGTCAACCAGCGGACAAAGATGGGACACAGTGCTACGATTCCGGTCTCTGTATTTCACAGATAAGGCGATGTGCCTAAAGAAGGAATTTGGGAACGCCACTTGCAAGTAGACAGTAATGTAATTACTGAATAGTGGACGTCCGAAACCGTTGGTGAAATACCCGTTTCAAAATATTCTAAAACCACATTGAAAATATGCAGATGAATGAATTGGAACGATAAGAGCGGGAAGGTAGAGGGAAGTTCTTTTTCCTATCCGACGGCACTAACCAACGAATAAGATTCGGTATCTCTTCAACAGTGTTGTACCTGAAAGACACTTCTCGTAGGTAAGATGACTAACTGCGTTGACAAACGTATTCGCAACAACTGTGAATATGTGTGTATAGGACATACCGTGAGCAAACTGCACACCACACTGCTAGAACACCTGAGGCGCAAATCATGGCGACGTCTAAGTATAATGCTTTACTGTGAGATTCAGCTGTGGCGACGCACGTGTTAGGTACAATGCATGTAAGGTGGCCAGATTATTGATGAGCCAAACCGAGGCGCTTCCAGATTTCTTGCACGCCACACCAGGACACTTATCTACCCCCGTTTATTTCTGCATATCTTGACCGTACAACAAATTGAAAAAACAAACATCTACATTTAGTGCTTCGATGCAATGACAAAATATATTTACGTTATTAGTCAATCCAATGGCTGCGCTACTGAAGTTCGAAATAAATAAATAAATGGTATCTTCTCGATGGAAGTAGGCAACCAAGTGAATTCATGATCAAAAATACCTACAAGCGTAGCTGCTTTGAAACATTAAAACGTGTTGTTAAAATAAAGTAAAACCAAACTTTCCGTAGTTTATACACTTGAGAAGTTCGTCGGATAATAGTGGGATCCAGGAACATTATGGCGCTGGCTCGTGAAAAAACCAAGCTTAATACTATGGTGGCAATAGCCAACGTTCGGCGTGATTTCGCCATGTTGTGATCCATGGTTTCACGAGCACAGGAGCCAAAGTAACATGTCGGTACAAGTGTTTCCGATTAAAAGTTGATGTGCTGCTTGACATAATAGTATCTGGAACCACAGTTATCGAACAATACTGAAATAAATAAAGAATGTTTTATTCTCGATAGTGCAGGACACGCCTGATCACACATGATCTTGGTGACACAACAAGGATTGGTTAATGTAAAAGCGATACAAGATTGCAAGTGACATTTGGATCCATGTGTTAAGTGTGCATGAATGCAATGGTTAAGAACGAGTGTTGTTGTGTTGCTTGAATTTGTGCATGTGACGCCGTATTCGTGATTGTTTTCGGTCATGCCTAAGAAGAAGCGAAACGTCACAGTGTTGTTAAACGGATATTTGTGGCGTTTAATAGAAAAAATCGCTTGCCAGACGAAAACCCACCATGTTCTGAAACACTGCCGCCGAACTATTTGCTGGAATTGAGTAAACCCGAACCAACCAGCAGACACCACGAAGATGTTATTCGGCTAGCCAGATGAATGTATTTTTCATAATAGATCTGGACGCTGCGTCAACATGTCGTGAAGTCATTCGCAAGGTTACCTGGCGCTCCTTTCCTCCAAACTGCAGTTCACCATAAATATCTTTTTCAATGTTTAAACGCTAAGCTGCGTTGTCCAGCACCTAGTTCAAATCGAGGTGAACAAATGTAGAGTGCTGCGTCTGCTGCACAAGTTGGTTCATTCCTACAAACTCGGCAACCAGGAGCTTCACACATCTTCTGGCGAGAAGGAGTTGAGAGTCTTGTGAAATTTGATCTTGGATGTTCGAACCAGACTGAAACGGCGTCAAGGAGGGGCATGCAAGACTTGGGCCTCCTGAAGCATGCACTCGGACAATTTGACCCTCGGTTTTTCCACAACGTGTGCTCATACATACTGCCACATGTGGAATACGCCATACAGGTTTGGTAGCCATGGCTGAGGCGAGATCTCACCACCTTGGAGACACCCCAACACCGATCAATGAAGGACAACTTTTATTGGCATGAGCAGAGGCTATAACAACACCAACGCAGACGTACATTAATGAGTTCCGTTTCCTTCCCACGATGCACCATCTC